CGGAAGAGAATCGAACCACTTATCTTCAGCAACTCGATTAACCGTAGAAAACCAATGAGTATACTGAAAAATTATTTAAAAAATAGCTTCTTACAGCAAAAAAAAAAAAATACTGGAACGCTCATCACTCACAACTAGTACCATGACCGCCCTAATCATTTGGGAGTTTTTGGTCGAACGCTCTACGTTTGCCCGTCTTTTGCTTCTAACTCTTAAAAGAGCAGATCCTTTTAATCAGCGTTCATTTGAATGTTAACCGCCAACTGACCAGTAAAAGCAAGAAAAAAAAACATCGAAAGATTTCTTAAGTACAGTACTGGACGAGAAGCATGACTGGTACCAATAATAAATCAGAGACGATAAGCTGCAGATAAGCAATAATCAGAGGCAGAAGTAGTACCAGCAGCATTAAATTCGTAAAATCCAGTACAAAGAGATAACTTCAAGACTAGTATTTAATCAGCATGAACTCATTGAGCAAGCAAAACGACCACAGACAGACTAGTATCACACAAGTATCATTCCTTTGGCATTACAGCGATGCGTCAGTTCATAAATGATAATTAGAAAAATGATGGTCACGGCTCAGAATACTGCTGGAACGAAAGAGAACACTAAAGCTCGGCGATGATGTAGTGTCAGCGAGTATTGCACGGTGAGTGACGAGAGAGACTGCAGCATCCATCACAAATCCAATCCATAAGCACCGCCGTTCTAAACAAAAAAAAAAGAAAAATTTAAAAAGTCTTCTGTCACTATGACAACAAACAAGCACATCCACAAAAACACATTTCGATATGAGAAACAACTATTCGCGTACATACACACACATACATACACACACGTATACACATATATGTACATACACTCAGACACACATAAACATATACAAAGCACACACACACACATACATACATACACACAAACACACACACACCCATACAACATATACACCACTATACACACAGCACATAAAACAGGAGCACCAAACTGTCCGAACAATCGGTACGGGAATCTATGCTAACGACGTTACCGATATACACACCGGTCACAGCAATTCCAGGCCCCTCGATCCAAAGCTTCGTCCCCGATCAACAGCGCAAAACATGGTAACTCGTTCAACACACCAGGGTTTATACCTCGTTCTGACTCCTCTCAATATATTGGTCACTTATGTACCACAACAGAATGTGTGTACATGAAAAGTACACCCACATGGGGAATCGTAGAATAACGCAGATTAGGTTCGTTGAAGACAGTTTGAAAATTTTTCTAAAAAAATTTTCTTTTTTGAAGTTCCAAGAAAAAAACAGTGGGAAATTCCAAGAAAAAACTGCACCACCTGTAGTAAGAAGGATGTCGCGGAACAGACTGCTGGGTGGAGGGGGGGGGGACTGTTTCAAGTTACAGAAATACTGTTAGTCCAACCCCGAGTCGTTAGTCCCCTCGAGTTCATTAAATGGCAAGTGCAGATGTCAAACCTACATTGATAACACGGCATTCGTACTCAGAAATTGGCTTGCGACGAAGTGCTTCCGGTAACTGCCAATCCTCAAGGCCCTGCCCACGCGGGATACTGCTTTTCAGCGTTATCGTCGAAGCTGGTTTGCTTTCTGCAATTTCTACTGTTCCATTATATTTCAAAAGAAAATGTATATTTGTCTTTCAACAAAAGTTGGCCACACAACCAAAAATTTTCGCAAGCAATAAGTACTGTAAGTGTCGATGTGATACAAAACGCATATTGTCACTGGGTTGTCTGTGTGTGTGTGTGCGCGCGCGCGCGTAGCAACCTGTCCGCAACTTTCAACTCGGAAACCACAAAAGCTGGGAAGCTGAAAATTTAGAGGAATGTTTTCTACGCACGTATGACACCGCAAATTTAAATTCAGCCTCCCCCTACCCGTGGGCAACACGTACGGAACCATAGAAGTTTTGGCGGGTAAATTGTTATCTCGGGAACCACGGAATCTAGGAAACTGAAATTTCAAGGTAATGACCCCCGGTCCACGCACGTCCTTGCAAATTCAAATTCAGTGCTGCCGCGCTCTCGAGTATTAGCTGTGAGCTCGTGAAGGTTCCAGCGAGGAAAATTACTATCTCGGGAATCACGAATGTTGGGAGTCTGAAAATTTAAGGCGATATCCTCTATCAACGTACGGCTCCCGCAAATTTGGAATTAACCTTCACGCATTCCTGGATACCACGTACAGCTCAGTGAAAGTTTTGGCAGGGAAATGGTCTCGCAAACTACAAAAATTAACAAGCTGAAATTTCAGCGTGGCATTCCCCGCCCACGTAAAATCCCCGCAAATTTTCAACGTTCCCGTGAGAGTTTTAACGGGAAAAATTATTACCTCGGGAGCCAGAAGTGCTAGGAGACTGAAAATTTCAGGAGAATGTTTTCTACGTAAGCAGGGCTTCACAAACCCGATTTCAGTTCCTAAGTATGCCAAGGTCTCACATACGACGACGTGAAAGTTTTGTTTCAAAGGTCATTCGAAAACCAGAAAATTAGGAAATTGAAATTTTGGAAGGATATTCATTTTTCGAGGTTTCAAATTCCGGTTTCACGTGTCGATGCATGAAATTTTTGACTATTTTTCAACATTTCAACTATTTTTGCACAGAACAAAGTGCAAAGCAGTGAAAATTATTAACAGGCAATCGTTCGATAGGCGGAATTGCACAAAAAGCGTGATCGCAGTGGCTATTCTGGTGCGCGCTGCTATTTATTAAAATTAACCTTCTAAAATTTTGACTACTCTGGTATGACTATTAATCCCATATGTTTGCATTTTAATTAATTCATCCTAATTAATCTGCGCTGCTATTTGTTTAAAATTAACCTTCTAAGTTTTTGACTATTTTGGTATGACAATCCCATATGTCTGCATTTTAATTAATTTTAATTAATCCATCCCAATTAATTTTCCATTAATTAATCCTCACAGCTCATGCAATTCTTCAAGCAACAATAAAAAATTCAAATAACTTACGAGGGGTAGACGAGGAAGAATTACTGTGCAGCGGATATGCCGAACTGAAAAAAAAAAACGAATTAAATGTTTGTTGACAAACCGATACTGATCACATCTTTTCCAATTCACTAAATTTAAAGTCAAAACTCCTGTCGCATTCATTCTGTATAAATGACAAAAATATGCAGCAGTGGTCCGAGTGATAGCACATGTCAAAACTGGCCACTCGCCGATAAAACTTCCTAGCGATGGCTCTCTAACCAATACTCTGTAACAGCAAGCAGACAGCGGTTCTGACCAGGCGTCAGTACCACTTTAATATCAAACAAATGACTGATTTTATGGAGGGATTAGTTGCCCCACAGGTTCGACCTTCCACTTCTACTATAACAGCAAAGTTACTGGCCGTTGTGCCACATCTACCAGCAACACTTTAAGTTTTCGCTAAAAAACTGCTATTTCTGTAAAAAATGAGGGAGCTTGGAAAATAATTTTTATGCCATCAAAGTGTGAAAAACCCCGGAACTAAAACAATTCCTTTAAAAAACGGTACCACTGCCGTTATTCTTCCAGCACCAAAAATTAATGAACATTTGAAAACAAAGAAAATGTAGGAAAATAGTAGGAGGGGAAGTACTTACCGATCATAGTGAGGGCGGGGTAATCGAGCACCAATGAATTTGATTAAAGGCTTGCGCACCTCACCCTAAAAAAAACAGGGATAATTGAAAAATCAAACTTCCCAAGCCAAAACGTATGTTTAGAACAGTCAGAAATGTATGGGGACGTAAAAGTATAATTCTTTTAGAAATAACTATTAAACCTGGTACAATTAGGAGAAATCGTTGGAGATTTCAAACAAAACAGCTATTTTAAGGTGAGAAAATGTTACAGGATGGACACTAAAATTAAAACAAGCGCGAAGGAACTACGGGGAATCTTAAAAATTTCAAATCTATTGGTTTTTTTGCATTTTTTACTGGTTAATTCCACAAGAATTAATTCTACTTATTATACTATTATAAGTAGAATAAGTAGAACTACTACAAGTAGAACTATTTTCAAATACTATTATAAAAATTAATTCTAATTAATTCTATTAATTCTACTTATTCCGTCATATAGTAGGAGGGCAGGAAAAATTTAACTTCGCGCATAAAAGAAGCACTAACACTTAGAGACATATAAAATGCACATCGATTCATTGATGAGTTCAACTGCTGCACCGCTGAATGCAATAATTCCTTGCTAACACTGCTACTGCTGCTGCTGCTGTTCGATGCCTGGGATTTAGTCAAAACGCCGTTTTCAGAAACACCGCTGTCGCTGTTCTCTTTCGATCCGGCTATCTGCAAATGCATGATGTTTTGACGAACTCGATAATATTCAACTACATCACGCATGATGTATGTTTTGCTCCTCGATGGTAATGTTCTGGGAATAACAGCGTTTCAAAAAAAAAAAAATGGTGGTGCGCGAATAACATCTCAAAACGATTAAAATTCCTGCCAAAAAATACTTTT